TGGTGGGAGTGTAGACTGGTGCAACCACTGTGGAAATCAGTGTGGAGATTCCTCAAACAACTAAAACTAGAAGTTCCACTTGACCCAGCTATTCCCATTCTCAGTATCTTCCCAAAGGAATTAAGAGCATGATACCGCAGGGATATATGCACACCCATGTTTATCATGGCAGAGTTTGTAATAGATAAATCCTGGATATATCCCAAATGACCATCAACCAATGAAATGGATAAAGAAGATGTGTTTTTTTTTAATACAATGGAGTACTACTCATCCATGAAGAAAGAGAAACAAGACATTTCTAGCTAAATGGATGCACCTAGAGATAATACTCTTATGTAAAATAAATTGGACACACACATATAAATACTACATTGATTCCTGGTGGGAGAAAGGAAAAGTGTAAATAAGAACCAAAATGTATAACAGATATTGTGAAATAGGAAGAAAATGTTCAAATGGGTGGGGGAACCTGTGAGGGGGGTGGGAGAAAGGAAGAAAGGGAAAGGAAAAAAATGAGAAAAGAAGGAAAAAATGGAAACAAAGTTTTTGTAAATAAGGAGGGGAAGAGGGGTTGAAAGGAGGGTAGGGGAATGGGAAAAAAGAAGAATCAAGGTATATCATGTACAGGTACAAATTCCCTATGATGACTGTGATCATTATGTTTATCTACGATGTACCAATAAACTTAATTTTTAAAAAACCCCAAAGAAGAAAGTGCCTGTGTCTTCTAGGGTAGGAACTAGCGAAAGCTGACACTAAGCAGCCGGATCCCACCGCAGTGCCCTTCCTGCCGGCTGTGGTGGCTTGGGAAGGCTCAGGGTCCTGTATTCCAAGACAAGGCGCCCTGGAGCTTCCAGGCTCAGGCATGGGGGCCTCGGTGCACAGGTTGCCCTTGGCAGTGGCTCTGTTTCCTTCACACTGTGACAGGCAGGAGACCATGTTCAGGCTGGTGGATTACCTGCGGAAGTTACTGCCAGTTCTTTTCAAAGATCAACCACACTCCCTTTTTTGGGGAGACATTTACCTACCCTAGACCCTTGTCACTGTTGACTGAGGCAGAGACAGTTTAATCCCAACAAATATCACTCAAAACCCACCCACCCTTCGGTCCTCCTAACTGAGGTCGATCCCTTGGTGGACAGGCCTTCCCATCTTCTCATCCTTCAGCCTCAATTTGCAGTCCAGAGGACGGAGCACCTCCCATGCAGGAAGGACTGGGTACCAGGACAGGAGCAGCCATGTATCATCTTACGATCCAGAGGTGGGGAACCTGTGGCACGTGTGCCACAGCAGGCTGTTTGTATCATTGAAAGCTCTAAAAGGTTCGCCATCCCTGATGGGAACCATCTTCCAAGACAGCCTCAGAGCCTTCAAGAGAGCTCGGCACCTAAGTAGAGGACCAAGAGGCCCTCAGGGCTCTGGAGCGAGCAGGACGTTTCTAGCGTCATCTGCTTCGCATAGGGAAGGCGCTAGAAACGCTGTGCTTGGACTTCCCGGGGGTCCTTGGCCTTCTCCTGCACCCCACCCTCACCGGGATCCCCAAACACCCCTGGTATCACAGCGCAAACCACCCACACCCTGGACTGCCTGGGCGCCCCTCTTCCAGCTCAGCCCGCCCTTTCCGGACCCCCGGCTTCCTTCCCCAAGCAGCTCCCCTCCTCCTGGACTCCTCAGCGCTCCCAGCTCCCCCTCACCATGGTTGCGCCGTCAGGTGAGGGTGCCTCAGAAGGGCTGGCTGCAGAAGGAGAAGTCTCCAGCTGCCCCCACAAATCCAGGAGTCAGAGGGCGCGCGGGGGCTTTTATATCCTGGTGGAGCCGCGGGCCCTGCACCCAGCTGGGCTCCCATTGGTCCACAGCCCCCGCCCCGCGCCTGTCATTGGGCCAACTCCGCCTAGCCCCGCCCCTCTCTCGGCTCTAGCAAGCTGCTGGAAACTCTCCCTGCTGGAGCCGCTGGTCATTGCGAGTCACAAAGCCAAAGGGAGGTAAAGCCTGGAGAGTTTACTTTCTCCCCACCAGTTTGACCCTTTCCCCTCTGTTGGAGTGTGCTGGATCTGAGAGATTGAAACTTTGGGGACGTACCTTTCTTGTTTGGGCCTTAGGATTTAGCACTTTGCATTTAGCACCGTGGACCTGGCTCGAAACCTCCATTAACCTGACAGGATGGGGTCGAATTGAGCTCAGAAACCATAGAGAAGGAAATCTGCTGTAATGAAAACCAGGTGCTGCTTCTACAGTGGGGCGAGGCCCAGCTGGGGTGAGGGGAGCAGTGGCGGCAGGCGTGGGAAAGGGTGCGGTAGACGAATTTTACCTCCCGCCTCACTGGGGCGACTGCTCGCATTCAGGTGATTCAAGATTCTTGAAAGAGCAAGAAATCCAGGCTGGCAAAATAGATCTAAGGGGGCTTGGAGGAGGATGGAAAAGCAGGATGGGGCTTTGAGTATTGAAGAGTTCCCACGGAATTCCAATGAGGGTTTTTCAGCAGAGGAGCGGTGTCATTAGAACAGCATTTTAGGCAGCAAGAAATTTAGCTGTGTATTTTTCCAGAGGCCATTTCAGATCGTTCCATGCTAAAGGGCAGACGCACCTGTTCCCCATCTGCAAGCTGTCACTTGAGGTTTTCCTTCTAAACACCGAAATGTAAGCAATTAGCCCCTTGCTTAGTTTGGGAGGGTTATATGTTTTATCAAGTGATTGGCCACCTCACCCTACAGTAATTACCCCCGATATTTGTGTAACACATTCCAGAGGAACTCGAAGCATCTGTCATCGCTTCCTGGCATTCACTTCCTGGTGAAAATGTGACTGCTTCGGGAGGTTTAAGAACACGGTGCAAAGGTTAATTTCATACTCTGCAGGATTCTTTTGTTTCAAGTCTAGAACCTGGCTTTAAGAGGCTGCCAGCCTTTAAGTAGGCGCTCCTGGTGAGGGGACGAAGTGCCAGTGTGCGGGTGAACATTCAAATGAGTGCTTAGAAAACCCTGCAGAGACACAGCTAAAACAGTGATTTGTTGCTCTTCACTGCCCCCTAACAAAACAACTAATGCTGCATCTTGCTGAAATTAGGCACATCAGTGATTAAAATGAAGTTTTCTAGCCATAAATGGAAAGCACCATCAACTCAACACACCACCTCTTCCTTGCTTTGCCTCATTGACCATTCATTTCACCTGCTGGTAGAGTCCGCCGGAAATGTTCTTCCATTCCTACTCAATGGAGTAGAGAGGAATGCAGGGATTATAAATGCACTGGAAAAATAGCCAGGGGTGGTGGTGCCCACCGTAATCCCAACCACCTGGGAGGCTGAGGGAGGAGGATTGCAAGTTCAAGCCTAGCCTTGGCAATTTAGCAAGATGCTGTCTTAGAATAAAAAACAAAAAAGTTGAGTGGGCCATGTCTGCCTTGTAAGCGCAAGGTCCTGTGTTCAATCCCTGGTACCAAAAAAAAAAAAAAAAGTTGGGAGTCTAACTCTGTGCAAAGACCTCGGTTCAATCATCAGTACATTAAGTCCCCGACTTGTGAACATTAGAGCTGAGAAATTTTTCAGGTGTACTGTATGAGATTCACAGGTGTACTGTATACAACTCACTTTGTCGGATTACAAACGAATCCAATTTATGAATATTCTCCAAGAATGGAACTCTTTTGTAAGTTGGGGACTTATTGTATGACATAAAGTAAATAATGCGTTGGAAACAGTGACATGCTATGTTATTTGTGGAAATCACACATGCACCTCTCTCAGCAACATACATCTTTACATCATACTGGTTAAAACTAATCCTCTCATAAGCCATTTGGGTTGATTTCTATTGTCTGGACTGCTTCTGAGCTTAAAGTTTATTTCTAACTTTCTTGCCTTTTCTCTTTCATCTCACTAATTCAACTCCTGTGCCACTGCACATACATTGCTTCCACACATCTCTTCAGGAATTTAAACTGTTCAAAATTCAGGGAGCATGCTCAATGATCAGCTCTACTTTTTAAGCAACCTAAAATGTCTTGATATGCCTGTATCCTTTGGCTCTGTTTACTCTTTCTACATCTTCCTCCACTACATAGCACTGAAGTGACCTTGTGAACTGAAATAAAATGATACCCACAGTTAGTTCAGGAAGGGAAGGGCAAACGAAGATGGAGAGGCTTTGTGGGAGCAATACTGTGTCATTCTCTGAATAGTGAAGACCCAAGGTGAGCAGTGAGACACTAGAGCCAGTGGCAACACTGGACAGGCAGTATCTGGCTTTCAGGTGACTGGATTACTTACAATATTGCAGCATAGCTGCTTCCTTTGAAGCTCGCAGCACAGAATGCCCATCTCTGACCACTCCTAGGGTGGTGACAGGGAGCACTTCAGGCTATAAGCTTTCTTCCTCCCTGCCTGAAGGAGCCAGCCATACCAGGAACTCTGCTCTATGTCCTGTCTGTCTTATTTTCCATCAGAAGCCCCAATAAAGCCTCATTTTGGTTTTTATCTGCATCTTGTGATTTCTGCCTTGAATTGAGCAGAAGAACTCTGGCCCAATTGGTAACATTACCTTGGTACTTTCCATTTGACTGGAGCAACTGCTTCCTAAGATGGGACCCCAAGTTTACACCTAATCCCTCTTTCATATCTCATATCAGCTCTGTTCAGAACAAAGGGGAGGGGAATAGTTTATAAACCCATGGGAACTCCTCACTCTTCTCTTTGGGGCCATGCAGTGTTCCCAGCCTACATTCTATCTGCTTACCAGTTCCCTCACTGCTACCTACACCACAGTTCATCCTGGACCCCAATTTGAAATAGAAATAGACTGTCTGGAATCACCAAGTTAGGGTTTGGGAGGGACCCTGTTCTAACTGCAGCAAAGGACTTGTTTCAGACATCCACAACTAAAATCATTTGTTATAGCACAATGTGTTTTGGTACACATACACGCATAGGTCACCAACCACTTATCATGTATAACATTGTTTCTCTCCATGGCAAAATGCATGCTATGTTTCAAGTGACTACAAATGAATTTGGTTGACATTTCTTCCATTTAACTCTAAAATCTGACATTTAAGGTCTGGGGGTATAGCTCAGTGGTAGAACATGCATTTAGCACATATTAGGCCCCAGGGTTCAAGCCCCAGTACTACCAAAAATAAATAAATCAATAATAAAGTTTGACATTTAGACACATATCTTAGGAATTGAGTTGTCTAAACAAGAAAACATTGGTCACAACTGAAAGTTTGCTAAGGATGACATCTTTATTTCCCAATCCTGTGAAGAAGACTGCCACAGTCAGGCCCACGGCACACTCCCATATATGTTTTTATTGTCTTTGTCAAACAGGACTGGAGAAGAATACAATAGTTATTCTAATTTTTAACCCACTGACATGGATCAGAAATAGAATTCTCTCTAGCCTCTAACTCTACTTTCAAAAGTATGTATCAATTACTTTATATTAGTCACAATAAAATGATATAGTATACAGCAGAGTTCAATTTCATAGTCCTATAAACAACTGTTTACCAAATTGTTAAAATATGGCAGATTTGGGGCCAAGAGTAAAGAGGATATTTTTATCCTACACTTATAAGTCATGGGTTTAATGTTTAAATATGTATAGGTTCAGGAGATAATAGAAATGGAATGCCATCCTAATTATAAAGGGAGAGACTGAAGAACTGATATGTGGAAGAGTGGACTTTGTACAGGACCATTGGTTACATTCTGGTTTTGGGCAGTAGAGATTGAACCCAGGGACTTTGGGACACCAAGCTGGCCTTTGGCACCTAGAACCTCCCAAAAGCCCCAACACCTAGCTGGGGCCCCCTGCCACTTCACCTACTTGCTCCAGGGAATGGGTCCCTGGGGAATGCTCCCAGAGTGAGGCAGCCCAACCCATGCCCAGAACTCCCAGTTCTGGCTCCAGACTGGAGGCACTGGGGACCTGCCATGAGTGGGAGGATAGGCCAGGCCTCAGGGCACACACCTCATGGGCCACAGGCATACGGGGGCATCCACTTTCCATGACTCAGGGCAGGGAGCTGCAGCCACCGAGGGGACTAACAGACTGCTGTCCACTGCTCTGCACCTACATAATCTCAGGACATCAGCATTGTCCCATGTAGAGCAGGGGCAGCAGCTGAGAAAAAGGTGCCCAGAGAAAAACACACCCCTCTTCCATCGCTAGATGAGGCTCCACCACAGGGACTTCCACTCACAGAGAGTGAAAGACCAGGCGCAGCCTGCTGCATCAGAGACCCCAACCCCAAGCAGAGGGCGGGGCAGCCAGGTCTGCTGGACCCTGCACAGTTACCCTCCATGTTCTCCCTACAGGTTTGAAGGAGAAGCGAGGGTCCAGAGGTGGAAAAGAGCAGTCAGGTTCACTGGAATGTTGGCCTCTCCTGCAGCAGCAGCTCAGGTCTTGTGAGAACACAAAGTCCACACAATAGTCACCTGAGAAAGAAATGGGTAACTGGGGCCTGGGCAAGGACAGTCATCGAAGGAGCCTGCTTTGTCTCAGTGGACCCACTTTGAGTGAGAGTAGTGACCAGTCCAGGAGGAGGACCCCTTCCGCACGCAGAAGAGACAACAGGCTGGATTTTGTTCAGATTATCCCTGCTTGTGCCCCTACATAGCAGGGAGAAAACTCCAAGAACCCCATGCCATGTTCTCCCCCACTGTCCTCAGAGTCTGCAGACTGGAGGTGACACCCTAGCCTGGTTGGGACACAGGTCCAGAGAGCCATTTCTCAGCACAGGCGGCCAAGCAAAAGCAGGAGCTGGAGCAGGAGCTGAATGATCAGCAAGGCAGCGTTTATGCACCCATCCAGGGGCTCAACCTATTTGACT